TTAAATCAAAATTTTTTAAAGTTAAAAGGTAAGTTTAAAAAAGATGAACTGATTGGAAACTAACATTGTTAAAAGTAACCGATTTTGATTTTAAACTGTGAGCAATTAAAATAATATTTTAATATTTAAATTTAAATATATAAATTTTATAAAAATTTAATAAAAATTGAATATTAAAAAATATACTTGTTTTCTATTTAAACCAGACTTAATTCATAATCAATTTAATTAAAATTATTTTAAGTAAAAATAAAGTTTAAATAAATGAGCTGGTTGTGAATTGAACTTTATAAAAAAGTGAACGGCTGTGATTAACAACATGTAGCCTATACTGAGATATTTTTAAAATTCGTAAAATATTAAATATTTTATAGAGTTTTTCGATCAAAAGTCGAATCTTTGCAACCATCTGTAGAATCTTTGCAATCAACTGTAGAACCTTTGCAATCAATTGTAAAGAAAAAGAATTTTTTTAAAAAAAATTTAGCCCTTATGATGACTTTAGAAAATAAACAAAGTCAAGTTAGGAGAAAACAAGTGACTCCTGAAGACAGGAAAAGAATTGTTTCAAAGGTTCTTGCTGGTTTGTCTATAAAAGACATCTCTGTCGCATTGGACATGAACTATAAAACAGTTTGGAAAATTGCAACCAATTTTCTAAAAACTGGTGATGTTCATGCAAAACCATGTGGCGGAGACAGGCGTTTAAAGTTAACACTTGAACAAAAAGAAACAATTCTTGCCTGGCTAGACACAGACTGCCTGCAAAAGCTTAAGGATTTAGCTACCAGAGTAACTGAATCATTCGGTATTAATGTCTCTTTAAGCACAATTGATTGTTGTCTTAGAGAGTTTCATTATACCCTTAAGCGAATCACAATAGTACCTGAGCGTAGAAATTGTGATCGTACAATTGAGCAAAGGCTTGTGTATGCAGGTAAGTTTAGAGAACTAGAGGAGCAATACGAGCATAAAAACTTCGTATTTTTAGATGAGGTTGGGTTTGACGTTTCAACACGAACAAACCAAGGACGCTCATTTATGGGTACATCGGCTTATGTAAGTGTCCCTGCAGCAAGAACAAGAAATATTTCTGTTTTTGCTGCTATGAATAAATATGGTATGTTATATCATAAAATTCATGACACGGCTATCAACGGTGAAACCTTTAAAACCTGTCTTCAGGAGCTGAAAGCAATATGTAATGATAGTGGCATTGATACCCCTGTATTTATTCTGGATAATGCCAGAATTCACCATTATTCAGGGTTATCTGAAACAATCTGCCATTTAGGGTTAGAACTGGTTTATTTACTCCCTCACTCCCCATTCCTAAATCCAATTGAGAATTGCTTTTCTGTTTGGAAAAATTTTGTTGTAAGGGGTGCTGCAACATCTGAACCAGAACTCAGAAATTTAATTGAATCAGGATTTAATGAGGTTTCATCACAAAGTTGTGATGCATTTTACAAGAAGATGCTTAGATATGTTAATCGTTCAGCTGAAGGTGAGATTATTTTAGAATAAATTCTATTGATATCTTTTTTATTTTTTAAACTTCTACATTTGATTGCAAAGATTCTACACTTGATTACAAAGATTCTATAGTTGATTGCAAAGGTTCTACAGTTGGTTGCAAACCAATAAAAATATTCTTCAAAAAATTTTTTTTCTACTGTTGATTGCAAAGGTTCTACAGTTGATTGCAAAGATTCTATAGATGGTTGCAAAGATTCGACTTTTGATCGAAAAACTCTATATAATAATTTCATAAAGAATTAAATATTAAAAAATTAATCAAAATTTTTATTTAAACCAAACTTAGTTTGTTTATTACTTTATAAATTACAAAATAATTACATTAAAATATCTACAAAAAATGAATTAATTATTGAAATTATAAAATAAACGATATTTTAATCAAATAAAATCACAAATGATTTTTTATAATAGAATGTTTAAAAGCAAATAATATTTAAAATATGTATTTATTAATGATGATAATCTATATTATGTTAACCTCCTCAAATGAGGTTTCTTTACTTACTTTTTTGGGTTATTAATAAAACGTTTTCCCATGATAATTTATTCTTCCTTTTTTATTCAAATATCTGAAACCCCTTTTGTTTCAGATTGACATCTATCGTTATTATTAATAATAATAATAATACCAAAAACATATTCAAATATATAATTTATACTAAAATACAGTATTGAGCAAAAAATTATGACCACCTAAAAAATCATTCACAAAACCACACACATGTCACGATAAAAATTTTTCGGATCAAGTCTGAAATTTTCCCCACAGGGGGAAAATTTCAGACTTAAAAAATTCATAGAAAATAAATAAAAAA